ATTCCTTTTGATATTCCCTCTTCGGCAGCGCTGTTTGAGGGCTTCGCCCGAACCCCATCCCAACGAGGGGAGGCGAAACGTTGCCGAAATTTTAGTAAATTCCCCAAATTTTATTTTTACCCCTAAAAATCATCAAACTCGGCGGGCTTATATATGTATTGATCCTTAATATATATAAACTAAGAAAGAAATTTTATCTTAGCTAAATACATTTTCTTTAATTTATAATTGAAAAATACAAAAGAATTTCCTAGAAGAAGAAGGGAAAGAGACGCTGCGGTAACCTGGTTTTGGGTGAACTTACTAGCTTGTTCCCGAAGGCGTGAGGCAAGCGACGAGAATTTTCAGTTATTAATCTACACCTCCCTCTTGCTGCGTTCTCTCTAGCCGCCAGTTGAATGTGGCCGCGGGTGCAAGTAGAGGTCTATGGGGCTACCATTGACTGGGACTTTGAGCCCCCTGAACTCATAAAGGGGGATCTGGTCGAGCTCACGATCCCCGGACGCAACATTTGACACGTTGACGGCCAGTTTGCGTGGAGGTCCATAATCTTGTCCGAGGACGTGTGGCTTTGGACGTACAGAGAGCACCGGCCGGGGCAAGGAGTGGGCGTAGTGAGAGCCTACTTGTATTTGGGACCGGGTGCGGTCAGGGAGGCCGTGGTGGGCCTCGCGACGGGCGAGCTGGTGGTAGCACGGGACAGTTTTTCCCGTACAACGTTAGGAGCCTGCAGGCGATAAATCCGTCGTTCATAGTAGAGAGCGTCTTTGGAGGTATTGGTGGAGTGGTCGAGACATACGTGGCCTATCAGGATCTCAAGATCCTGGGGAGAAGGCCTGCCGACCTAGACTACATCTATTATTCGCTCGCAACCGGTGGGCCTCGTTGGGGAGACGAGAGGGTTCAGCTTATAGAGCTGATCCGCTCGATAGACGACGAGTGGCCCCAGTCTCCGTAAGTTTGGGATTGGCTAGACCGTGAGCTCCGAGCAGGCCCCGAGTACGTGACCTGCATCAGGCGGCTCTTCTCAGACGACTAGGAGAGCTGGTGGGGTGAGGACGCCGGGCGACCTCTGATATACGACCATCAGTTGGCGGAATACTACCAGGGTATAGGACAAACGCCATACCGCGTCGAGGACGAGTTTGACGACGAGGGTTGGGAGCGAGAGGACGACGAGGATGCCTGGGAGCCAGACTGGGTCGACTTAGAGAGTGAGGTTGACGAGGAGGAGATTGACGTTACAGACGCCCATTTTCCCAGGATAGGAGTAGCAGTCCAGGCGTAGGAGGTAGAGGAGCACATTAGGGCGACGATTGAGTGATCTTGGCTACTGATCCTACTCGACCATACTGGACCTGAGTGCGAGAGTTGTCTAAAAGGTTAGCAACGTCGAGAGATGGGGTGCATCGGAGGGAATAGAGTGATGCTGACCGAGAGTAGGAGGAGAGATGAGGAGTGATTCAGTGGCCTGGTTAGCTTATTTTCTCTCACGAGAGTCCGAATCGTATAGTGTGAGGAAGCTTGTGGGACCCAGAGAGACGGCGGTTGGATACGACATACCACTTCCTGTGGCGTTCAATGAGGCAGGGCGTGTACCGATACGATACTTGGGAACGTGGCTCGCAGAGGGGCTCTTCCTTTGGACATTAATACTACGAGACGAACGACCCGAGAGGACTTATGATCTAGAAGGGGTCGGACATCTGATAGCGGATTGAGCACACAATTTAGAGATAGGACTAACACTCGCAGGGACGAGCAGGAGTTGGTGGAGAAGCGAGTCGTTGGCCTCAGTGATCGTTAATCAGCAACTGGCGAGACTCTCTGGAGGGAGGACGAGTTGGAGTTGCTTGGTATACGGCCCACCACATCCGACCCTCTACCCGAGAGAGGATTGACGATTCGGACTTCCTACCTTCGTGATAGGGCAGACCTATGGGAGCGTGGATTGTTTGAGTAGAGCAGTGGACCACATACTTTACGCGCTCTGGGAGGGCTTAGCGCCCCGCTTCAAGGAAGTATACTACGCCATTTGTGTGAGGTGGGGGCCGCCCAGTAGAGRGACGCTTKACGACATCATAGACGTTACTAGCTGGGTGGACTGTCTGAGGCCAATCGATCTGATTAGGTACTGCAGGAGACGGGCAGAGATCGATTACGTGAGGCTAAAGAATGTGAGACTTCTCTTCAAGGCCGCAGCTTAGGGAATGCCGGGAAGGACGACCACGGTGATGAGTGTAGGAGAACAACTGGTAAGCGCAGGATACACTGTGACAGTACTTCTTCGAGCGTACGTAGTTGAGGACTTGACAGCGAGGGAGTACAGACAACGAGCCAGGGATTTGATCCACGAACGTAGAGCTGATGTACTGGCGCGAGTGACCTTCCAGACCTCGATTTCCTATGATGTGATGATATGGTCTCATGGTTATATGCGCGCGGAGCACTACCACTATGAGACGGTAGCGGAGGCTAGAGCGAGGGTGAGAGGATGAGCTGGAAAAAGATGTGGACTTAGTATGGAAGAGGAGAGTGGGGCAGTCGAAAGAATGAGAAAGCGCGTTAAAGAACCACTCTTGAACCAGGTAAAGAAGTTGGGGAACAAGTTAAGGGAGATCTGGTCCTGTCAGGACGAGGGCAAGTTGCGTAGGGATGAANTAAAGAAGTTGGGGAACAAGTTAAGGGAGATCTGGTCCTGTCAGGACGAGGGCAAGTTGCGTAGGGATGAACTCGTGACGAGAGAGTTAGAGAATCTGTTTAGGGAGGAAAGAGAGATTATCCAGGTGTGGAGATCAGACTTTTTGGAGAGGGTAAAAGCTAGAAGCGTATCACACGAAGAAACTAGTGAGCGATCTGCAGAGAGCGAGACAACGGAAGACAAAGTAACGCAGGGAAGTAGCGAGAGGACATGAGCGGGACTGCTTTACACACGACGGATCGGTACTCATTACATGTGGTAGGGAGACTGGACGAACCATTAGTGTTAGTGATCATAGAACTCCAGCTCCATACCAGACTGTGCATAGTTGAGGAGGCAGAGTGTGTCCTCGGAGCGCTGCATGAGGCTAGGGAAACAGAACTTTGGATTGGAATAGAAGAAGGACGGAGGATAAAATAAGTACTCCAAGTGACACCTTTCGAAGAGCGGTCTCGGATAAGGGCATGGTACGAGACGAGTAGAGAGGCTGAGAGGTTGAAGATAAGCGAAGCCAGGAAAGCTGGAGAGTTAGGAAGAGTTGTAACAGATGGTGCAATACTCAGGGTGTTAGCCGCTCACGACCGGTACTGGAAGGAATCGATAAAGACTTTAGAGGCGATAGAGGATGGTGGAGATAAGGAGGACTTTGAGACATTTTATGACATATTGGAGCGGTCGGCGATGAGGTTACAAGTGGTTATAGCACTAACTTACCTCAGCTGCTAGACAGATGACCTCGTAGCCGTCTGGGAGATAAGGGAGTGGAAATAGAAATTGGAAGCTCTTGGAAGGATAGTGGAAGTTAGAAAGGATGATGGGTGACTTTGGATGGGAGTAGGAGAGCCTTAAGCGGGTTAACCGATTCAGGACAGGGCTATGAGAACGAGCAAGGAGGACGGAGAAAGACGCTCGGAGACTCTTGAGGGGTGTTGATCAGGAGACATTGGCTAGGTTTTGGACTGCGATCTGTCTCAAGGATAGAGGTCCTCTCACGGGTGTACTGCAGATCCGGAGAGGCACGGCCTTGTTAACCGATCCCGAAGGAGAGGTTTACTTAGACACAGGGATTCTTAGGATAGAGGGAGAGCACGAGATCAACGACCGGTACGGGATACTGGAAGTGGTAATCAAGGCAGTCGAGAGCTAAGATTGGAGGCGGACGCGAGCCGTGACAAGGAAACAGGTCCGGGCTGCCGCAACTGTCACAGGTCCGGGCTGCAGCGACTGTCATAGGGTCGGGCTGTAACGGTTGGCTAGAATACCTATCTGCATCTTCTGGCGGTCCAATGGAACCCGACACGATGGGGCCACAACCGACCACGGGCGAAGCGGGAGAGGAGTACAGGACACCGCCCGATCGAGCTCTGAGGGATCTGAAGGAACGAATTAGGCGAGAAGCACCGCTGAGATGGGCTGACCAAACCAATGACGGAGGACCCGACGTAAGGGGCGAACCAGTTGCAACAGACCCGCAAAAGGCTCTAAAGACGGGTACCTTGAGCGGACAACGAGAAGCGACGAGGCGACGCTCCCCCGAGTACGAGTGGAGGGACACCATAGCGGACAGACACAGAGACGACTTGAGAGAGAGTTCGAGGAATTCCTATTGGAGAGACAGAGATAGAGACAGGGCGCCGCCCAGGCGAGTCTTCGACCCCCACACAGGGGAGTCACATCCGCTCCCTTACGAGAGCAAGGATCGCTATATTATAATGCACAAGGCCTCAGAGCCTCCTACCTTCAGGGGCTATGGTATCACATAATATCTGGAGAAGTGGGAGCTTCACGCCGGCCGGAGTCAGTGGTCGGAGGAAGAGATTATAGAGAACTTCCTATTTAATGTGGATCCAAGTCTCCGTAGGGAAGTTAAGGAAGCTCGACCGAAGGATGGGAAATGGACTACGTACAAGAAGAACCTCGTTGAGCTTTACAAATTGGAGGATAA